GGAGCAGCCTGCCAGACTGAGAAGTCGGACAAGGGCTGGTGCAGACGGGAGTGTCCAGGCGCACAGGCCCCAATGCTGGGGAGCGAAACCACGAGTGCCGAGCACGGGCGCCTCCAGCCCGCAGCGCGTCCTGGGCGGCCCGAGGAAGGCGCACGCATCCCTGCACACACACACGCTTGGAGTGCGTAGTGCCATCCACCCAGCCTGCGAGTGCTGGGGACCCAACATCCACAACAGAGTGGCCCCACAGGCCCGGCACAGCCACGTGGACATGTCCTCACAATGAAGAGCGAGCGCCGACATGCGCTACGTGGATGAGCCTCGAAGACATACAAGTGAAAGAAGCCAGAGGTCCCAACCACATCTATGTGAAATGGCTGGAACGGGAACATCCATGAGATGGTGGGCGGATGGGGACTGGAGGTGTGTGGGTCACTGGCATGAGCACAGGTAACAGCCGCCTTACAACTAGACTGGTGGGGCCAGCAGATGCCGTGATGATCACGTGGTCGACCGTGGTTCAAGTCCTGGACCCAGCGACTTAAAACTCACCCAGGCACGTGTGCATGCGTGCCCAAGATCCCGAGAGAAGAATGCAGGAGAACGGATTGCGGCCTGGCCATCCCCCAGGGAGGTGAAGTCTTGCTTTCTGTCTCTCTAGCAAGCACAAACACCCTACAGAAAAAAATCTCTTTAAAAAAAACCCAAGCAGACTGTATTTCTGGCTGCACCCCTGCGTAGAGCCCAAGTCCACGGGGCGGCAGGCCAGGAGTCGGAACAGCATGAGCCCTGCCTCAATGCTGGCCAGTCTGTCTGTCCAGGGCTTGTCCCGACCTGTTGCGTTGGGCCTGTGCACCTGGGCTCGCTTGTTTCATGTCCAGTGTCCCAGAACCACAGGGCCTGCTGGAGTGTGTGGCAGACTCGTAGGGCCTTGGAGTGAGGCCCCAAGGCCCTGGAGACGCACTGTACCTCCCTGGGCTTGGAACCCAACTGCCAGCTCCAGAGCTCCAGGACAAGGCGTTCGGGTCAGGTGCATAGTGTCTGCACACAGCCTTCAGTGGTGAGAGCCCCGTGTCCCAGCTGCATCCACAGACTGCCTGGGTGGGCAACAGACCTGGTTCACACTCTGTGCAGCCCAGCCACAGGGCGGCCCAAGTCAGCCCTCCCCGACACCACAGCCTTCACGGGCAACGCCGGCTGCACACGCCGTTAATGCTGCCTCCTTTCACCCCATCCGCAGGTGGCAAATGGATACTCACGCCAGGGCCTGCACCTGGGCACTGCCTCACGCTGCCCAGCACACCTCTGCCTCCACACTCCACGCCTTGTGTTCCCCAGCTCCCTCCCTCGTGTGGTGGTGCCAAGGGCTGGCCTCCCCTACCGCCCCAGAACCCTGTGCCGGAAGGAAGGAGGCGACTCCGATCTCCTGGGATAGGTGGCAGTTGGTCCCAGCATCCACCACCTCAGCAACCACAGCCAGGCAATATTTCCTATGTGAGCCGGCAGGTGGTGTAATGGTTTAGGCACAGACTCCCACGTGGCCAGCCACAGTTCGAGTCCTGGACCTGGCAGCCTGCTTTCGCACCTTCCTTC